TGAGTAGGCCTGAGGTTGATTTTGCTTTCTACTAGGAGATGGTCAGAATTTCCATATTGAGTTAAGGTTTCAAAGTTGAGTTGTCCAAAACTTGTATTAACAAATATATAATCTAAACGTGTTGCCATTCATTAGTTGTTTTGTGTGTTCTGGTAGAAGGTAATAAAAGGATCATTCTTTGTGAAATTAGCAGTATCAATAAAGTCTTTCATTAATTCTTTGAGTTGGTCTTTTGATCTATCGTTGTGTAGAGGTGCTTGGCTTATGCGATTGATTTCTGGATCAAGATTTGTATTGAAGTCACCAGCTATCACATATAGAGCATTATCATTTGCTATTGGAGCCCAATTGTTGAAGAATTGACATCTTTGTTCCTGACTTAGGGGTGCATAAACATTTGTGGCTATAAATTGTTGTTGTTTAAAAGATAAGCTGACTGTGATCACTCAGTCGTTGTGAGTAATCTTTTTGTCATTAAATTTTATGTTTGGTTTGCCTGCTAAAGTAGCAGCCTTGGCTGACCAAACTGAGTCATATCCCTATTGTTGTGAGAGAAATTTTCTTGTTGCTGAGTCATTTAGATTTGTTTCCTGGAGTAGTATTAGATCTAGTTTGTAAGATTTTAACAGTGTTAAAGTTTTTTGGGCCTTAACAATATTGTTAAGACCTTTAACATTTAGTGTGGCGATTTTAATCATATAGAAAGATTAAGATATTAATAAAGCTATGAGCCACACGTGTGGTGGGTGTTGCTATTAATCTTGTAATTGAGAAGCCTCTTTTGAAGTGGCTTCAGTTTCTGCTATTTGGGTTCCATTGTTTGAAGCTTGAAGCTTTCTTTTATTTTCTTTTTTCTTTTTTGTCGATGCAGATATAGTTTCTGCCTTCTCAGCATTAGGTATATTTTTTTCAAGTTCAGAGGTTGTAACTGTGTTTGAAGAGTCTGTTTCTATTTTTATTTCTTTATCTAAATCTTGGTTCGAAGTAGAAATAGTGTTGTTGTTTGATGTTGGTAATCTATTGAGATTATTCTTTGGGTTTGTAGGTTGAACTTTATCAGTTTGTGAATT